GCAGTAGCCACTTTCCTCCCTTGCAAAAATCTTTCAAATAGGTCTCTCCCCACTGGGTCTGGATTTGTGTTTTATTTGACACGTGCTTGCAAAGTCAAATCTACAAGACAAGACACATTTCTGAGCAGACGGGCTTTTATATCTATCTCCCACTCTCTTCCCCTGGTGGCTTCCTTCTCCCTCTAGGAAACTTTTTTCCTTTTCTTGGTTTATCTCTTCATTAAAAATACGACAGTAGGATTCTATGTTGTATCCTCTTTCCTTTTGTTTCTGAACAGTGGTAGCCAATTGTACCCACCTGCTTCCATTTGCAGGTAAGAGCCTTGCCCTCTTCAGTCCTCTGTGACTCTGAAAAGCCGTCAGCAAGGAGACCAGTGGCTGCTTTGCCCTAAGGGTTCTCGATGAGATTAAAGCGCTTTGTAAACCAGTGGGCCTCAAACTGGAGTGTGCACCCGTCACCTGGGGGTCCTGTTCATAGATCCCCCCCAGACTCCTAACTCAATAGGCTTGGCGCAGGGAGCAGGAATCTGGATCTCTCAGAAGTTCACAGGGCTGCTGCTGCTGCCTGTAGGCGTGAGGGTGTCAGACTTTGAAAACTACTGGTATCAGCTCCCCTCAAGGGCAGGGCAAATGTTGGTGAGTATTAATAAAACTTCTGTACCACAGAATGCAGGACCTGGTTTGACTATAGACCCAGCCTGCCATTCCGGTTTGGGGCTTTCTTTCTTTTTTTCTTTTTTTTTTGGGACAAAGTCTCACTCTGTCCCCCAGGCTGGAATGCAGTGATGCAATCTTGGATCACTGCAACCTCTGCCTCCCGGGTTCAAGGGATTCTCCTGCCTCAGCTTCCCGAGTAGCTGGGATTACAGGTGCATGTCACCACACCCAGCTAATTTTTGTAGTTTTAGTAGAGTCGGAATTCCACTATGTTGGCCAGGCTGGTCCCGAACTCTTGACCTCAGGTGATCTGCCCACCTTGGCCTCCCAAAGTGCTGGGATTAGGCATGAGAAACTGTGCCTGATCAGATCTGGGGCTTTCTAAGGCCTCTCTACTCAAAGTGTTGTCTGAGGACCAGTGGCTTCACCCAGGAGTACTTAGAAGTGCAGACTGTCCCCTACCCCAGACCCGCCGAATCAGATTCTAGTTTATCAAGATGCCAAGTGAGTCAGAACTCCTCAAGCGTGAAAGGTGCTGCTTTCTGCGCCTTCTGGTTCACCTGCCAGTAGTTGATGCCTCTAGAGTGCAAACTCTAGAACTCACCCCATGGCCTGCTGAATGGATTTTTCCTGCTTTTTCCCCCAAGACAGCCAAGCCAAGTCCCCATGACAACTGGCCCACGCCTGGGCAATGTTTGGCTTGGCGAACTTCTGGGCAAAGTGGTACCAGGAGCCCTGCCATGCTGTGGCTCAAGGGTCTATTCCCAGGGCCCCAGTTCTCCCTCCTCTTCACGGTCTCTGGGCATGGCAAGTGGATCCCAATGGCCTTAAGGACCGCCTCCCAGAGGGGTTCTGGCCTGGAGCTCTCTGGGGCCTGGGGATGATGGCTTTGAGCCTTTTCTGAAAATGAGTTAGATGGAGGCTCTTTTGATCCCCTCACCAAATCCACAGTTGTCTGGTGTGGACAGGATGGGCATGGGCCTGAAAGGTGTGGAGGTGAGAGGTGGGTGCTCCTCCTGCCCAGCCCACTCCATCTGCCTGGGAAGGGGCCAAAGCTGCTGGGCAGGGCAGTGTAAATGGTGAGCGGGGCTGGAGTCATGCGGCTGGCGTTTCTCCCGCTGACACCCTGCCTGTCCCAGGAGAGACGGCAGCTTCTGTCTGCCTGGAGGCTGGCTTGAGCAGTGGAGGTTCTGGAGTGGTGAAAGCCCCAGAGACACAGCTGGGCCCTGAGGAGAGATCCTCCCCGTGTCTGTTCTGAGATTAGAGCATTTCCTGCTCCACTACTGTGTCTTCTGCCCTTGAAGGCTTCCCACATGGTCGGCAAATCCTCGGCCATGAGTTCCCTCCATTCTTCCATCCTGGGAGAGCCCCTTCCTCATCCCACCCTCACTGCCAGCCGGCCCCTCTTTCTCTCTGTCCAATTCCACAGGGTCCCCCAGTAAGCAGATTCTTCCCCAGGCTCCAGGCCTGGCTGGAGTGTGGCTCCAGACAGGGCTGGGTGTGAATGAGTGTGAGGTCAAGGCCAGGCCCCTGCTCAAAGCCAAGGCCTCTGTGCGAGGTGGCACACGAGTTCCCACTGAATCCTCCAGCAGCCCCATCACTGAGGTGTGATCCCATTTACAGATGAAGACACCGAGGCTCAAAGTGGCCTGTTTACGGTGATATCATCAGTAGGGTGTTGGCTGAGTCCAAGTCCTGCTCATTCTATTTATTGTTGTTTTTTTCAATTTTTACCTTTATTTTAAACATAAACATCTCAGAGTAAGCCCTGTTCATTCTAACAGCTAAGGTGAGCAGGTGGAGGGAGACAGAAGAGGTCTTGGGTCCCAGATCGGGAATCCCCGTTCTGAAGTGCAAGGGCCGCTGTGCCTCACTGGCTGCTCCATGTTCCAGCATGTGCCTGGCACGGTGAAGCCTGGACAGCCAGAATGGCCCCCTCCGCAGAGCCTGCCTCTTCTGCATAAAATCGGGCAGGGGGGACCTACAAATGCGCCGTTTGGTGTCATGGTGCTGGCACTGACTCGAGCCCTTGTCGCCCAGCTCCTCCTCGGTGCCAAGTGGCCGGAGCACTTCTAGAACCATTTGCTGGGCTTGAGATCAGAAGCCAATGGCTTGGTAAGAATTCAGGTTTTCTTGGGCCCTGCCCACTGGAGCTGGGCTATCTGTGGGTAGTTCAGGGGGTGGTCAGTGTGGGGTCCGGGTTTGGGTGGGTTCCACTGTCAACCTTAGGAAAGGGTTAACCCAAAGGCCACAGGTATCTTGGGGACAGCTGTCGTATGCAGAAGAAACAGAACAAGAGCTCAGCAGCAGGAGAGAGACGCCATGCTATTTCAATTAAGGAATTTATTTCTCTTAAAAACAACAAGAGTGGTTCCATCTAGATCCAGCGGCACTGTGACACGGTAGACGGAACACACAGAGTTAGAGCAGTGGGAGAATGGAAGCCGCTGCCTTCAGGAGTGACCGCCACCATGGAAGTTTCCATTCATTAATGTCCAAATCTCCCTGAAAAAAAATTAGAAAGTTTTGGATGCTAGAAGGATTATTATTATTTAACAACACCAACAGCCACTAAACTCTTCTAACTGAGAACAGTTGCTTAGGGACTGTTACAAAAATGACTTCTTGATGGACTGGGGAAAGACGTCTAGATTCCACTTCGGGGGAAGTGTCTTTCTCTGCCAGGGAGAGCTGGCTTTTCAAATGTTTTCAATCACTGTCTCCGGCACAAGCCTTTATGTTTAGGCCAGGTGAGACACCCCCGGCCTGTGCAGGGTCTGACTTGCACACGCTGAGATTCAACAGCTGGGTGGTGGGTGGGGAGGGCAGGTGCAGAAGGGGTCTCTGGGAGAGGAGGCTTTGCGATCGTGGTCTACTGTGATCAGGAAGATGGAAGCTCTCTGTGTTCATAATTCACACAGCGATGTCACTTCCAAATGCACAAAGACTTCGTACTCACTATCTTTCCACAGCCAGGGCTAAAAAGTTCGAAGATCCCATCTCAGAGTGTCGGGTTATGAAAACAGGAGACCACCTCTTGGAAATACAGGTATTCAGAAGGATGTGCATGCACACCAGGGGACCCCAGAGGACAGCTGAGTGTCACTCAGGCGTTTCCTCTTCTTCTCAGAGATTGCCGATTATCCAGGAAGCCACCGTCCCCTTTGGCAAGGCCTGGGATGCCAGGCTGAAGGAGGTGGCAGTGCCCCCTCCGTTTTGAGGGCAGCAGCTCAGTGGGGAAGTCAATGGGTAGCTGGAACTGACAACCGAGCCTTTGGGGAAAGGACAGGGTGTGGAGGAAGAGGAGGGATTTCTACAGTGGGGCCAGGCTCCTAGGAGAGGCATGGAGATTTCCCGGTTTCAGGAAGGGAAGGCCTTGGTATCCCCAGGGGCTCACCTGGGCTCTGATCCTACTATGCTGTCAATGCAAAGGCTGTGTGTGTCCCCAGGACTTCCCACCACTATTTGTCTCGGCAGCTGCTTGCCGATGTGTGTACGACCCAGGCTGCACAGCTGTGTCTGTGGGGCAGGCCAGGCCTCCCTGCTCCCGCCCCTCCGAGCAATGCCTTTCAGGAAGCCTCCTGTGGCTGCGCAGGACACAGCAACAGCGGGCAGTCCTGGAGCCCTGGGTTCCTGGCCAAGGAAGAGGCGAGAATGGGTTGCTGTGGGGTGCGAGTGCGTCCTCCGCAAGGCGGGGACTGGGTCTTCTTGCTATTCTGGGTGGTATTCTGGGTGCCCCCAAGGGACTCAATAAACACTTGTAGGTCATCATGGTGACCATGGCAGAGGCTGCCTCCGTCCACCAGGGACAGCAGCTCATCTCCTGAAATGCAGATGCAGAGACGCTTCTAAGAGACCCCATGTCTCACCTCAAAGGCACGAAGTCAGTGAACATCTGGTGAAAACGATGTCATGCCTGGAGCAAGAAAGGCTCTTCGGTGAAGAGCTCAAATGCATTCAAGAGAGTTAAATCCATTCACTGTCCAAATATACCTTATCCGGGACAGGTGGATAGGTGGAAGATGTTTGCTTTTAATTTTAAAATACCTTTTTAAAAAATGACCGCTATAGGCCAGGGACAGTGGCTCATGCCTATAATCTCAGCACTTTGGGAGGTTGAGGCAGGAGGATAGCTTGGGTCCAGGAGTTCGAGGCCAGTCTGGGCAACATGGTAAGACCCCCGTCTCTACAAAAAAATTTAAAAAATTAGCTGAGTATGGTGGTGCACGTCTATGGTCCCCACTACCTGGGAGGCTGAGGCAGGAGGACAGCTTGGGCCCAGGAGTTCAAGGCTGCAGTGAGCCAGGATCATGCCACCACACTTCAGCCTAGGCAACACAATGAGATGTTGTCTCAAATTAAAAAAAAAAAAATGTGGCTATAGAAAACAAGGTTGGAGGAGGGGAAGGGACAGGACTGGGGACTCAGTAGGGAGAAGGCACTGGTCTAAAGACTTCCTTTCTCTTGCCACAAAGCAATGCATGAGCCAGAAGGAACAGGAGGCTTTAACAGGCCAAGTGACTCTGCCCCCATCTCCTCTGGGCACTCAGGGAGGGCTGGTGGTGAACATGATGGAAGACTGAAGTTATCATAGAACCTATGCACAGGCCTTGTGATAGTACCACCAGAGCTCTCGTGACCTAGAAACATGGCAGCCACACTTCTGTCATCTTTCTTGCTCCTTGGGGATTCTCTGCTGCAAACGGGCAGGGCACTGGTTTTCAGGAATAAAAAGAGGCCGCTTTCCAACACCAAGAATCCATTTGGTAAGGACTGAGCTGCTATGCACTAGGCAAAAGGAACCAACCTCCTGGATGGGTGGCTGGGGTGGTGGCTTGGGCTGGTGACCGTCCTAGGACAACGGTCCTTCTTTTCATTGATAAAGGAAGTTCAGCAAGAGCTTAAGGATCTTAAGATACCATTCAAAGAGCTTTTCACTTCCTTGGAAAACTTGAATATGGCTGTATTTGTTTTGTATTCAGCCCAAGAAAGGTAATGGAAGGAGCCTCATAAAACAAGAGCTGGTCTTGAACAAAAAAAATACTGCACATTAAAAAGAAGAATTAGCTAATTCTTCGCCCCCATTTCTTTGTAAAAGGACCTCAAAATGATCAGTCCCAAAGGCCAGGACTCTTTCAGAGGCACGCCCCAGGACCCAGGGGTAGAGTCCGGGGGGGAAGGCATGGAAACCAGGCCTCATGGCTGGTGTGCTCACGACTGTCCTCCCCACGACTCATGCTCCAATGCTGCCTGCGTCACCCAGAGAAATGTGTTTGGGACGATCACCCCCAAAGCCCCGCTGACGGCCACAGCAGGGGTGCTCACACTGCAGGGGTGCTCACACTGCAGAGGTGCTCACACTGCAGAGGTGCTCACACTGCAGGGGTGCTCACACTCCAGGGTCATCAGAGTGATCTGATGAGCTTTTACACGATGCAGGTTCCTAGGCCCCACTCCCAGGCATTCCCATTCTGTGGTTTGGGGTGGAGCCTGTGAGTCTGCACTTTGACAGGAGGTGCAGGTGCAGCTAGGGCAGGGTCCACATGGTGAGAGACCCTGGCAGCTGCTGGGTGGCAGACTCAGATACCAGGGACTCAGCCAGGCAGGGGACAGTGAGATCAAATGTTCACCCTGCCCTGGACGGGAGGTGGGAGCAGACTGGCCCCTGGTCACTTCAGGGAGGCAGTAGGAGGTGGCCAGCTGCTCCCTGGGGATGGACAGCCCTGCTACAAGGGTCTGGGGGCTGCCTTCAGAGTCCCCTGGGCTGGCAAAGCCACCAAGTCCTCTGGGAGCTCCCGCCTGAAACTCTGAAGTGTCCGACAGATCTTGCCTCTGCCCCACCTTCCTGGGTGACTTTGTGTTGAGCTCTCTGGTGGCCCGGTCTCTCCTTGGGCCTCTTGTTTGCCCGGAGAGACTGCCCCATCCGTGCCACAGGGGCCAGCACATTGGTGGGGCTGTGAAGGTCTCGAAACCCTGTGAACGCTTCAGGGACACGCCGGGTCCCTGGGCCAGCCTCCCTCCCCGCTACAGACTCAGCGGTGCTCCGTTAGGATGAGCGCGTGGACTCACCTCCCGATGCTCCCACGGGCCCTGAGGCTTTGGGACACTCGGGGTTTCCTGACGAATCTTTACGATCCTATGCTTCTGTTAAAAATAGAACAAAAATCCCCCAATGCAAGCCTCTTGAAAACAACTGGCTTTAGCAGTCAGGACCCGCTTAGGAGGAAAGAGGCCCATCGCCCCCCAGGCTGTAAATATCTGGATCTGCGCACCAGCCGCTTCCTGGAGGAAGAACAGACAGAGGTGGGTGCAACGCTGGCTCGGTGTGCCCCTCGAGGAGAAGGGCTCAGCCCAGACGACTCCGAGGGCCCCAGGAGAGGACATTCTGGCTGGGAGGGAGAAGTCCCACATGTGTCTGGAACATTTAATTCAGATCATTCCAAGCCGACAGAAGGGTGATACCAATGTGAGGAAACGGCTCCAGGGATAGATGTGGGTAAATACAAGCAATCCTTTAAAGGTGAAGTGTGAATCACTTTCTACATTTAATAAAGACATTTTCTCATTTGAGGCTCTGGAAGTTGTGAGTCACATTTTTTTTTTTTTGTAAACCCCTCCCCGCTAAAATGCCTTGGAACACATGGGTTAACAGTGGCTGCACAGAAAATATACACCCTCAATCTCACTTTCTTTAAATACAAATATACAAAATGTAAACTGAGACAGTAGAGAAATTTACAAAACTTTTCTTTAAAAATCATAAAGACAAAATTCAGTTCTAGTTATGACGCTATTAAAATACGTGCAAGTTGTCGTATCCAATTGGATTTCTATTGCAATGTTCACCAAAGACAAATCCAATCCACCCCGGCCGGGGCCGCCTCGGAAAACAGACCTGAGTGGAAATTTCTTTGAGAAACCTCGAGGTTCTACGTCGACGGGATGGACGGCCTCCTTCCCCGGCTTCTGGGGGGCTCCCCTGGCAGCCCCACCAGAGCAGAAGCTCCAGTACTTCCGCTTCTAAGGAGAAGGTCTGCGCTGGTTCCACTGTGGACTTCCAGAGCCGAAACTAGCTGCTTCCGGTGGAGTTCGAGCTGACGTGGTTTGAGTTTATGTGGTGGTTAAAATTGGTCTTGGAGCTGGGTGAACTCTTGGAATTGTTCTGATGCTGGGGTTGGGGTTGGGGGAGACGGGATGGAGAGAACAGCAGTCAGTCCTGGGAGCCCTGGCGATGGGTCAGGGGCTGCCTCCATCAGCTCTAACCCTTGCTTTTCATGGCCTTTGGAAGTCTCCCCTCAGAGCCAGGTGCAAGGGCCGCCCCTGGAGGCACAGGGCTTTATCTGGTAAATGGGAAGAGCCAAGGAATTAACAGAACCTCCAATCAGGGTGGAGGCGGCCCCCCCATAATATCCATCTTGGTTACGCCTGCAGGCCCAGGGTTACACCGCCTGGGCTGGAATTCTCAGTCTGCCCCTCCCTCGCAGAGTGGCCTTGGGCATGCAATTCCATCTCCCAGTTTCCTCTCCTGTAACAGGCGAGAAGAGCAGCTTCCGCCAAGGGTGGCTGGGAGGATACAATGGGGCCTCGTATGCAAACGGCTCTACGAGGACCCACCTGGGAAAGATGGGCGGTCGTTCCCATTCCTCGGGCCCTCCCTCTGCATCCCGTGTGTGCTGGGCCCTCCATGTTGCAGAGGGGAGGAGGAGGGAGGCAAGGAACGTTTGCTTCACAGGTGCTGGTGCCCGCGCCGTGCTAAGGGCCGCCACCCATGGCTCTAGGCAGCAGGCATTTCTATCCTGATGTTTCAGGCAGGCAAACTGAGGCGGGAGGGGTTCCATAAGTTTCCACATAACCAAGAAGTGTCAGGGCTGGGTTTGAACCCGGGTCTGTGAGACTACATGGTAATTTCTCTTTCTAGGACCCAGGGTGTTCTTAGCGCGCCCGGCCATGAGGGGAGGGAGAGGTCATTGTTTCTGGAACTTCCATTTTACTTGATGGAAGCACTGAAGTGTTGTATTTTTATATTATCACTGGCCTAGTGTGTCTATCCTGGAGCTGGCTCTTTGGCGGGAGGAGGAAGGAGCAGAACTAGGTGGGGGAACCTCCCAGGCTCCAGGATGGGCACACTGGGCCACAGCTTCCTCCAGGGCCAGGCCAAGATGGGGTGTACGGTGGCCCCCTTCATGGTGTGGGGTGAGGTGGGGGCCCTTCCCCGGCATTTCCTCCACTGGCTCACATTAGCCCTTACCCAGGGCCAGGCTCTGACGGTCATTTCCCAAGAGCCCTGTCTCCTCTGGCTGCCAGCTAGAGGGCACAGCATTGGATGGGGGCCATCCCAGGAGCCAGAAGGTTCTGCAGGGTCAGCTTCTACCCCCAGTTCTCCCTGAGCTTATGATGTTCAGTCTTTACATGACTGAGGCTTCAGAGGGACCAGAGAGGGCAGTGGTTCTCCACCAGGGGTGACTGTGCCCCCAAGGACATTCAGCAGTGTCTGGCGCTTTTACAGGCTGTCATGACTGGGGAATGGGGTGTTGCTGCATCTGGTGGGTGGCGGCCAAGCTTGCCGTCTCAAATCTTGTGATGCACAGGACAGCCCCGTGACAAGGAATTAGCTGGCCCCAGGTGCCAATAGTGTCAAGGAGGAGAAACCCACAGGGAGGGTGAATTTGGGCTGGCTCTGCCCTTCTGCCGTGGGGATCCCATCAGCTGCAGTGGGTGTTGGGGGCCTCAGACGTATCAGTTACCCTTCCAGGCTGCTACTGCCCCAGCCTCCCGAGTCCTCCGAGGGTCTCTCCTGGGGGTCTGCTGGTTTCCCATGGAAGCGAGCCAGGGGTCTTGGGGCTGATGCCAGGACTCGCCAGGCACAGGTGTCTCACCTGACGCTTGAAGATTCTCTGGAGCAGCCCTTTCTTTGGCGGTTCCGGAGGGTGATTTCTGTTCAGATCTGGCGAGAGGGTACCATCAGGTCCAAACACGTTCAGCTCCTTAAAGCATTCTGTTTCTATCATCTGGAGGGGCCGTGAGAAAAAGACACAGGCCGTCACCTGCGGTGGTCAGGAAGCCCAGCAGCAGAGCCACTGGGGCTGACCCCTCCCCTGGCCTCACCTGCCCCTGAGCCACACCCTTCCAGGTCTCGGGGGCTGGGCGAGGCTCCCCCTCAATGACTGGCCCGCGGTGGCCACAGCTCCCTGCCTGGCCACTGACAGCTTTTATGTGCTGCCTTCATGGAGAAAACAGAAACCACGCGCTCATCCTCCTGCCGCCAAACTCATATTCCTGACGCCTCCTTCCCCCCGTCAGTCCCTCCCTCCCAACCAGCGCCAAGCAAGTGGCCTGCCCCGCTCACCTCGTTTTGCCATGGGATGGACACAGAACCCGTGGAGAACTTGGAGTAGAAGTCGTCATCTGTGTGGTCCAGATTGACGCCCTTCACAGTGGAGAACTGCTCGATGTCCAGCACGTCCTTACAGTACACAGCGCGGGGCTGCCAGGGGCACAGGGCTGGTCACACATGTGTCCTGCCTGCGGCTCCAGTGGCCCCAAGCCCAGGCCTTGGGGTTTTAACGGGGGAGCAGAGGGGAGTCTTCCCAGGACCCACCCCCAGAACTGCTGCGGGTGGTGGCTGGAGGGCGTGTGGCTCAGGGGCAGGTGAGGCCAGGGCAGGGGTTGGCCCCAGTGGCTTGGCTGGGCTTCCTGTCCACCTCGGATGACGGCCTGTGGTTTTGTTTTGCGTGACCCCTCCAGGTGGGAGTGCGGCCCTCTCTCAGATCCATGAAGGGGACCCTGGCTGGGGTGACACAAGAGCTCGGGGCACCTGGGCACCCAGTCCAGGGCTCCTTTTGCCATCACTCCCTTACCAGTACAGGACAGACGTGGGCTGGAGTCCCAGCAGTGGGGCTTATGAACTGTGGGGAAGTCTCATATCCCCTGAGGCCTGTGTCCTATTTCCTTACCGGCAAAATGGGGGCAACAAGGTACCTCGCTGGGGCTGCTGTCAGTGCTGGCCACCGAGCCTGGCGCCCGTAACTGGGAGCTGGTATTATTATTGTACCAGGGCATATCTTTTACCTTACTCATCCCTCCACTGTGCACTGGGGGCCTGATCTATGCCAGGGCAGAGATGAACCTGGGTGGACCTTGCCCTCTAAGAGTTCAAGGTTGGTGCGGGGAGGCTTCCCAGAGGCTCTGGAGATGAGGCCTTTACACAGACGGCCCCAGGTGCGGTGCCAAGGGATCCCCAGACCTGGTGACACGTCTGTCACTGGAGGGTAGAGGCTACCTCCTGCTCACAGTCTCCTGACATTTGGGTAATTCGAAGGTTGTGAATCAGTGCACCGGCTCAGTGAGGGCTCCGCCATGCCAGGAAGGTTCTAGCAATGGTCTCAGGGCTCGGCACTTTCTGGGACTCTCCCCTCCGGTCTGCTCTGGTCTCCAGCTCAAGGCTCGAGGCCATGCTGTCCCCAGCAGAGCAAACCATGGGCCCAAGTGCATGTGGGCGGAAGCAGGGGTGGGGGCATGGGTGTCTGGGTGCAGAGCTGCGACCCTTCTCTAGTGCCCAAAGCCCGGGGTGCACGCCACCGTGGAACCCAGCGGACTTTTAGCTGGAAGCAAGACCACATCATTCACGTGGCCAGCGCAGAATGAAAACGCAGGGCCCATGTTCCACATTTAGAATTTTAAGATGGCAACAGAGGGCACTGAGCCAGGTGTGGGGCCCAGGGTGCCCTAGGGGGTGCCCAGGTCAAGCTCACGAAACTGGCCTTGGGTGGCTTGCAGAGGAATGTTAAGAAATGAGTGTATTTTAAAAATCTGTAATGGAACAGGAAGTTATCTGGCACACCCAAACCCCTCTTTCATGGCTATTCTTTCCTTGGAAAGGTTTCCTTTTAAAATACGTCTTTTATTTTTAAAAAGTGTCAACGGAAGTGAAAAAGATGATGTCACTAACAGCGCTTGTGGTTTAGGAACGTGGCAGCAGCCCTGACAGTGGTGTGGGGACAACTGTGGAGGCTGGCGGGGACGACCGTAGGGGGCTGGCGGGGACGACCGTGGGGGGCTGGTGGGGACGACCATCGGGGGCTGGCGGGGACGACCGTGGGGGGCTGGCGTGCAGCCTGGGGAGGGCCAGAGGGGAAAAGGCAAAGTCCCCAGCTGACAGCGACTTCGCACTCCAGGGCCTGCAGCCTTTGCTCACCTGAGGCCTCAGATGCCAGGAATAGGGGCCCTGGGCCACAGGGTACACGGTGGGGGGAGGAGGGCACTGGCGGGCTGCTCTGTGCACCTTGCGGGGCTCTGCTACCTCATCCTCCTAATGCCCTGATTCGAGATGGCCAGCGTCACTCCCAGGGTGACCAACTGTCCCTGTGTCCCGAGGACACAGGACTTTCAGTGCTAAAAGCAGGACAGTCCCAGGCAAAGCAGGACAGTCAGTCGCCCTGATCCTCAGGGCCGCCTCCTTCCACACGCTGCTTCTGGGGCCCAGAGCACTCTTCTCCAGCCGTGCCTGGGTGCACGCACGGAGGCCCTGCTACTCTGCAATCTTCCTTAAGGCTGCCTGTTCTCTTCTCTTGTGACTCATATTTCTACTTGTATTTAAGGGGTTTTGCTGACAACCCTCCTCGTCTTCAGACTGGAAGTTCCATGAAGGAAACAACCAACTGTTTTGTGCGCCATGGGATCTCCCTTGGGGCCTGGCATGGGACCCGGAGTGTGCTGGAAGGTAGAGAAATAGTTCCAATGCCATGACTCATCTCAGCCCATCACCATAGCAACAGGTAGCCCAGAGGCCACAAGGATGGCCACCCGGGTTCCAAACTTTGCCACACCCCCAATCTGGGCGCCCACATCCTCTCCAATTTCGGACATCAGTCCAGTGGCACAACCATGATGTTCATGCAGTCATGCTATGTGGTTTCCTGGAATACCAAGGAGTGGCCACTCCCAAAGCCCTCGACACCGAAAACAAACAACAAATAAACGACACACTCCCTGCACGTGGCGCTTCTCACAATAGTGACTCTCAACCCCGGCTGCATGCTCGAATCAGCTGGGGAGGTTTCAAAACTCCCGAAGCCGAAGTCACCCCAGCCTCCCTGGGGGCTGGGTCCAAGGCGAGTGTTGCTCATGCTCCCCCGTGGTTCCCCAGGCAGCCAGGGTCGAGAGCAAAGCTGTGATTACCATTCTCCCCCTGCCTGCTCAAGCTCATCTGGAGATTGAGTTTGCCGCATTCAGTGACTTTCGCTTTTTTTTTTTTTTTTTTTGAGATGGAGTCTCGCTCTATCGCCCAGGCTGGAGTGCAGTGGTGCAATCTCAGCTCACTACAACCTCTGCCTCCTGGGTTCAAGCGATTCTCCTGCCTCAGCCTCCCGAGTAGCTGGGATTATATGTGCGTGCCACCATGCCCGGTTAATTTTCGTATTTTAGTAGAGATGGGGTTTCACCATGTTGGTCAGGCTGGTCTCGAACTCCTAACCTCAGGTGATCCGACTGCCTCAACCTTCCCAAGTGCTGGGATTACAGGCATGAGCCACCGTGCCTTGCCCTACTCTTTACATTCTCAGTGGCCCCCGTGTTTCTCCAAAAAGCATTCCCTGATTACCCATCACACTGATGCCATCCCTGGCCGGACAGGGGCTGTGGTATGGTTGCCATGGATACTGATCTGCACCCAGCAGCTTCCCAGGCCCGCTGCTGTCCCACAGGACCAGGGGAAACCCACCTACAGGGGGTGCCAGAGTTCCAAGGACGGTCCCCACCTGTCTCCACTCAGGGCGGTACTGGTAAGTGATAACCACTGGTTCTGGGGGAGGGGGATGCAGAGGCCCTGATTTGTACCATTTGCAAATTGCTGCTGTGCAGATGCTACCACTGGGATCTACTGTAAGCTGCCGACGCAAAGCCACTGAACACGGAATTGGGAAGAGATGTGCATATGAGCTCTCCGGAGACGCGGTGATTCGCCTGCAGCACACCACTGCTCCCACGGCCTCCACAGCCCCGGCCCAGTCCCCACCGCCGGCAAGGGGTCATCTGTGAGAGCATGGCAGGAGCTGAGACACAGGCCTTCCTGACTTCTGACTCCCTGACTTTACACAGAGCAGGCCCCGAATTCACAGCTGGTATCCCACACAGTTCACCCAGCCTCTGCCTGGTCTGCCTCTCTTGGGCCTCTGATCCAGCTGAGAGCTCATGGTTTATTGACCATGCAGGGGACTTTCAAGGACAATTCTACCTCAGCAGGAATCTTGCCTCACACACCAACTGGTGGCCCTGGGGACCTCCTGGGAAGACATGACTCCCTATAATGTAAGCTTCTGGGGGAGGGGCCTCTTTTGTTCCTGCCTGGCCCAGAACCTGGCGTCTACAGTAGGTGCTCAATGCATGCACGCTGGTCAAGCTGAACTGAACATGGTGGCCCTCAATGCTCTTGGAAGCATTCCCCATTCAGTTCTCATTTCACCCTCAAATCTCCCAGGCAGGTGGGAGGCGTGAGTGTTACTGGCTTCACTGGTCAGGGAGGAAACTAATGCTTAGAAGGAATCTGTCCAGGACTCCCAGACCCGGGAAAGTGCCCAAGTCTTTGGAAGCCAGTGTGGGCTCCCTGGCCCATGCCTCTTCTGCACTGCCTGGCGTGAAGTTCATCTGCAGCTGAGGCAAGGAGTGGCTGGGAGGGGACTCTTTGGTCCCCACAAAGACACGATGTGCCCCACACTCTGCACCAGCTCACTGTGAAGCAGCATTGGGGGGCAGCCCTGGGTACCCTGCAAAGGGAGCTGCTGGGGGCTGGGGGGTGCTACTCACGTCTGGAACGAAGGGAGGATCCAACATCCCGGCTTCTAAGCGCTTGAAGTTCATGTTCCTGAAGAAGGGGTGTCTCTTGACCTCTGCAGCCCCCTCCTCCTGGCAGCCCAGCCTCTGCTTTGCATCTTTGGTGAGCAGCTGAAACAGAGAGAGCCCCATGAAGCCACTGGGCCTCTCCTCCCACCTGAACCTCCTGCCTCCACAGTGTCTGTGCCACCCAAGACATGCTGCCCCACCCTGCAAAGGTCTCGCTTCAGGGCTGCCTCTGAGTCTTGGCATGCATCTGTGCTCACACCTTCACAGCCTGGCTAGATGCCTGATGGGCCAGGGGAGCAGGAATCTTGTGTTTCTCCCAGGACTACAGACCTCGTTCCTGGGTTATGGTGGGCACTCAATGGGTGTCGAGTCAATGTCACCTCTTCTGTGTAGGGTAAGCAACAAAAGGCAAGGACTGCATCGATAGCTCTCTTTTGTTCACGTACTCGGCTCATTTGCAGACTTGCACCTCCTGGGTGCAAGCCCCTTCCTGACAGAGAAGACACTGCCGAGGGACTTGGCCTCTAGGAGTGCTCAGACTCATGGGGGGCTAATCATGCTCAGAGGACACATCAAGGTGATACAGATCGGCACCCCGGGGCCAGGAGGCATGACTGGCTGCCAGCTGGAGGTCAGGGAGCTGCATGGGGAAGGGGTATTTGAGTTGGGTCTTGTAGGACAAATAGGCTTTCAAGGTGTGGGTGTGGGGAGGGGTACACAGGTAGAGGGAACTGCACCAACAAAGCAGAGTGGCAGGGCGTGCAGGGTGTGTCTGGGGAATATCCAAAACACGTTTGACTTAGCAGGAGGAGGGTGCAGAGGTCGGCCAGCAGGAGGGGCTGGTCGGGGGAGATGATGGAGGATCAGAGATGGGTCGGGGGAGGGGCTGGTCGGGGAAGATGATGGAGGATCAGAGATCTGCCAGGGGGAGGGGCTGGTCG